TAGTAGCCTTGGGGAAAATGCTCGGGAAGGTTTCCTTGTGTTTTTTTTCCGGGTATTTGATTAGCTTCCTTTGCTTTACATAGAGTTTTCCAGGAATAGGCAGATGTTCTCACCACAAAAATATTAATACCCCAAGCAAAGCACTTGAAGGAAAACAAACATCATCAAGTGTGGAGGGCACAGGTTGGGGAGAGAGAATTTCGCTGCCACGAAGGAGAGTACAAACAGAGCGCAGCCAGGGCCACTGGCTGTGCAAGCCAAGTGATCTGTCTTATAAGCGTAGTGTGCTCACGGGCATTTTCTATGGCCCACCAGGTGGTAGAAAACATTATTATATTACATACTAATCTAGTTAATTATATTAATAATTATGTCAATATATAACAATAACTATATAATTATATGATATATAATTATTGTGTTGCATTACATATAATATATAGCTATTATATTATATATACTATATCATATCATAATTACCTGACATTCAACATTTCAGAATTAGCTGATAATTCTAGGAGGAGGTTGGAAATACTTAACACTTGGGACTTTGTATACTACTGTGGGGAGAGACTTAGTTCCATCATGTTAGGTGAAAAAATAGTGTTTCTAATGTCTTATCTGGGAATTTAAAATGGTTTGAAAAGGTATATATGATGTCTGCTTGAAAAGGGGTGGACTGTGGTGGTTGCATACTGTGTCAACTTGGCTAAGTTGGAACTCACCTTTCCCAGAATCCTTGTGTGGGAATCAGCAATCTTAGACCCATACAAGGAGGAAGTCGTGTGATGTTTGAAAGGTGGAAAGGAAGCAGCAGCCATTACCTCCTGAAGATGGTTGTGGTTAGATGTGGTGAGAGCAGAGATACGGGTGGTTTTCAGGCTGTTCTCTCTGTTCCTCAATGAGGGCTGGTCAGAGAGTCGCTGGTGGGGTCCACCTTGCCTTTGCTCTGCCCACTCCACACCAAGCTCATCTTCCTGACTGGCCAGCGGCGACCTAGGCCTGCCTTCCAGAGACTTCTGCATGGGCTACTCCCTGCTGTTCCGCCTGGGCAGATGGGCACACTACCTGGTTTCCCAGCAATTCTGGCCAATGCTGACTCACCCACCAGTGCAGTGCCTTCGGAGGCCTATGAGTGATGTCCTCTTTTAGATCCTTATTCTCTAGCTGTTCCCACAGTTGTGTGAAGTTTTATTTCTATAGTAAATAAGAATCCTTGATCCCCTGAGCTCAGGAGTGAAGGATAACATCACCAAATCCTTGAAGAAAGGACAGAAAATCTGGCCATTTTAATGGAGCACAGCAGGAGCGAGGGGACTGATGTGTGTACGCCTTTTCCACCTGTGCTCCCTGAGGGCAGACACTGGCACGTATCTCAGTGGAAATCTTAACTGTAACCTTTGTATCTCAGTGACTCAAACCTTCAATATGCAATTTTAGGCCGAGAGGCAATTGTGAATCCAAATAGATTCATGGCTACAGTTCATCAAACAGTAGGAGCCCCATGCACTGGTCTTTGTTACTTAAGTTTGAGGAAAGTTATTTAATAATGTCAACAATAAAATATTGTGTGTGGGATGGAGAGATGAAGCTTCCAGGGTATGATAGTGGGCGGATTGTTGAGGTCTACGTCTCAAGCAGCCCGTGTTAACTGCAAATTTAGCAATAAGCAACGTGTGAGTTGGGAGCCTCAGGGAAAACTGTTGAAATGTGTCTGGTGTCTCCAAATGCCACAGATAACCATTTTTTCCTCCCACTTTTTACCCCCTAAATATACATTCATAGAGCTGGAATAGTAAAAGCAGACTTGTAAGATGAATTTGGAAATATTTCTTATCTGGACCCAAAACAACCAACCAACCAACCAACCAAACAAGCAAACAAACTCAGGATCCTGTAAAGATGCATTATGGGATTCTAGAAGACCAGAAATCTGTAAGCCTTAATCCTTAAGTTCCAGAGATCCCTCAACCTTTAGAACTTTTAGAAAATTAATTGAGCACCATTAACTTTGGCTCTCTTTACAGAGCGAGGGGATTTTTAATGTTTAAATCATGGAGAGAGCTTAGTTACTAAAGGGCGTGATGCTTTTTTAAGAGCTCTGATAAAAATCAGAAAATCTAAGTTCTTATCTGGGCGTTTCCAGGAGTCACTTATTCTCTGGGTTAAAGTTTCTTCATCCGTAAAACAAATATGTTGGATTAGATCAGAGGCTAGATTAATCTCCTGATTTAGCTCTCATCAACTGGAGAGTTTTAGGGCTGGGGGAAGGGTGCTGGAAATGACATTGGCTGGGCCTTGCAGGAGCTTGCAACTGATTGAGAACCAACTCTTTAGACCAGCAGCTTTACCACTTACCAGCTCTGCGATTGAACTTCAATTTCTGCAATTCTAAAATGGAAATACTGTAGTACCTACATGATATGGTGCCTGTAAAGGCTAAATCAGATGTCTGCCAGATTCTTAGACTAGTGCCTGGCAGTTCAATTTAAGTTAACCAGTAGTAAGGATTAGTATTAGTACTAGTATTAATAGTATATGTTCCCTGCTTCCTGGTTCCCAAATGCTACTTGGTGCTCTGATGGCAGAACCAGCTGGGTGCATTTTAGAAATTCTGATTCCTGGATTCTGAAAGTAGAGATTTTGGTTCAATAGATCCATATTTCTAGAACATTTTTCAGGTAACGATGACTGGTAACCTTTTTTTTGAAATCCCTGCTCTAGCCAACACACACATACTCATAGACTAAGGTAAACACATACACCTACGTAATGGTCTCGTTAAAAATAGAACTATAATTTGGAAAAGAAAGGATGCCTTAGTCTCACAATAAAATGAGTTTGTTTATTTACTTATATTCCCACCTCTTCTAAGGAATTTGAAGTGGCAGAAAGTGCTCTCTACCACACCGGGTAAACCTCAATTGGCAGCTCTTCATCTGACTTTCAAAGCCTGCGGGAGAGCCTCGCGGGGAGGAATGCAGGAGACGTCCGGCATCTGGACATTCCTTCCGTGTGATGGCACACATCTGGCTCTTTGGGACGAGCAGAACATTTCCCTTCCAGTTTCCCTCCAGATGTTTGAGGATGTGAAAGACACAGCCCAAGGGCCGAGTAATTTATCAAGCTGCACTGATTAATTAAAAGCCAGCGTCGGCAAAACCCTTGCTGGACTCATTGTGTCCATCACATGCAAATGCCCAGGCTGTTCCTCCCCGCAGACACACCCCGCACCACAGGCCTTCAGTGGAACAGGGGGTGGACGATTTCGTTCCCTCCGAGGCCCAGAACTAAGTGAGGAATTGGTGTGCACATGCAGCTCGACACCCTGGAGCAGACAGACGGGTGGACGGCTCTCTGGCTTCTACAGAATCCAAATAAAGCTAATACCGTTCAAATTCCTGCCCCGCTATGTGTGCCTTCTCAAGGTTGCTGAAATTGAATTCAAAAGCTGAAAAACATATGCTGGCCGTGCTCAGAGAGCCACTGCCGATTGCAAACACATGGCTGAGAAATGCAGAAGAGGCTCTGGGGTTACATTTGGGGTTGTTGATTAAGTGGAGTAATCACAAGAGACACCATTCAAATCCCTTCTCCTTGCACACAAGCGCCAGTTTAGAGGACTTTTATTGTTTTAAAAGCACAAAGTAAAATAAAAAATACTCTGATGAAAATGCTTAATGGTCCCAAAAATGGATACTAAACTTTGGATTTGAGTTTTACAGATGTCAGTGGAAAAGGCTACATAAAGCAATATACAGTATAGTTAGGATTTCTTGCAGCCTTGGGTGCAATTTCTGGAAGAAGGGAGATTAAGATCCATGGCCATAAAGAGTTCAGCGCAGGGTAGGAGACATGTCTGTGCCATTAAGGATGCCGGAGGGCACCAGGCTAGGGCCCAACCAAAGGCTTGCATACAGAAACCAGCCCCCCCAGCTTAGCCGGGGAAGGGGAGGAGTGGGCAGAGCCTGTGCGCCTCCTCCGCCAGAATTCCAGGTTGGAAACACTTTGTTACTGGCCAGTGTCCAAGTTCCTTAGCTTTGCCAAGTGACGCTTTGAAGGCAGGACTGGTTTTAGCAGCATGGATTAGGGTTCTGTGGGTGAAATTTGAACAAAGAAGGTGGTCCTGCCTCGTGGAGGAAATGAAATGTGCTGCGCAGAAATCCTTAAAAAGGCTACCGGCGGTCAGGCAGTTTCGTTGCTCTGGAGTATTTTCTTTTAGTGTCTACTATGAAAATAACTTCTGGCGATACGATGGCAGAGAATGCCCTGGCTCAGCTCTCGGGGTTGTGTTCTTGGCCTTGTTGCAAATCTCCTGTGTGATCTTTGTGACTTAGTCCACCTCCTCTGGTCTTCATTCTGCCTCATCTCCCTCCGCAGATTCCCTTTGTAGGAGGCAATCCTAGCAGAGCTCTGCTTCTCTCCCCTCTTCCTTCTTGTCTGTAGCCACTGTTCCTGCTAAAGAAACAATATGCATTAATACTTTCCCAAATCCCTTCACAATGTAATAATAGCAGGCAGGGTGCCTTTTCTTTATTTTATTATTTTTAAAATTTTTTATTGTTGAAAGTATTACATATGTCTCATTTTTCCCCCCATTGACCTCTCCCCACCCACTCCTGCCCCCCAGCACAGGCCCTCACCCCCCTACTGTCTGTGTCCATTGGTTATGCTTATATGCATGCATACAAGTCCTTTGGTTGATCTCTTACCCCGCCCCCTCCTCCCTCCCTTACCCTCCCTCCGAGGTTTGACAGTCTGTTCCATGCTTCTATGTCTCTGGATCTATTTTTGCTCATCAGTTTATGTTGTTCATTATATTCCACAAATGAGTGAGATCACGTGATACTTATCTTTCTTGGAATGGCTTATTTCACTTCGCATATGTTCTCCAGGTCCATCCATGCTGTTGCAAAGGCAGGGTGCCTTTAAAAGAATTTTTATTTTAAAATATTTTTATTGATCTTTAGAGAGAGAGGAAGGGAGAGGGAGAGAGAAAGACAAACATCGATGTGAGGGTAGAACATCAATCGGCTGTCTCCTGACTCCTATCAGGGATAGAGCCCATAACCCGGAATCGAACCAGCAACCTTTTGGTGCAGGGGACAACACTCAACCAACCAAGCCACACTGGCCAGGGCAAGGATGTGTTTTGAGGAGGGGGTGGATGGGTAATGCTGATGTCTATGTAGATTGGGACAGGAACAAAAATGCATAGGTCTCTCCCCCCGCCCCTTTCTATTTCTAACTTCTACTGTGTAGCTTTTTCTGAGGTTCAGCCTGGCTGAAGCAGAAGTGAGGACCAGAACATTCTGAATTCAGAAAGAAAGTAAATGCAATCA